CAATTTTTTGCGACAATACAGGGTGATTGACAACCTTATGGACACAGAACAGAGGCGTGTAAAGAAAGCCCTTCCCTGTAAGTTTTTTTTCTCAGGCTTACAGGTTAACAGGATACAGGGTGTCAAATTTCCTAAAGATTTTTTGGTATTTTCTCTTTAACTTCTACAGATTATGAGATTTTTTCACATTTTTAACGTAGGCTAATGTTTAGACCCTTTACCCGTAGGTAAGGCAACTGGTTGTGAAAATCTACAGGGTGTTCTTTTACTAGAGGCATAACCCCATTTACCCTCCCGAACTTTTTTGTGGTGCGCCACTGACTTCAACCGCACACATTTTTGCATTTGGTGTTTAATTTAAGAAATTGCTGATGTTTTGCAGTTTTTTCGTATCTATCTTCGTTTTCGAGTTATTTGCACAGATATTGCTCCATGTAGGGTTTCTGGGTGATTTTCTATGAGCTGTTTAATAATTTTGTTTGTGTCCTTTTGTTCAAATTTTTCTGTGGAAGCTTCAAGGTGAAGTTAAAATAGGAACGGCTGACGAGTTAACTTTAAAATTTATTATTTTTTTACGTTAATTTAATTTACAATAATTGAGGGTTATTGGCTGTAAGCTAATCCAAATAAAAATAAGCAAAAATGTAACGAATATTTCAATTTATTTTGAAATTAATTTCTTTCACAAAAAATTGTGCACAAAAGGACACAAAAAAATATAAGAAAATTCATGGAAAATCACCCAGGAACCCTACATAAACTTATATTTGTGCAAATACCTCGAAAACGAAGACTGATACGAAAAAATTGCAAGAGATCAGAAAATTTCGTCAATTATTTTGTAAAGATGAAGAGTGACAAAAGGTTCTCCAACAATAAGTTCGTTTCGCCGTGCGATAGAGCAAATATTCATCTAAAGCTGCTAAACATTTCGTTGCGATCAGAGTTTCCAGTAAGTTGTAAAGAATTTTTAAAGTTTGGTAACTAACTACATCTTTTTTTCGTCAATCCCTTTTGCAGACCATGGTTCAAACATTCATTTCTCTTAAACGAGATTAGCTAGCAACTTACAGATTTTGCCATTATATGAGCAGGCCTTTGATCTCTAACTTAGGAAAGTTTAATTGGATTCCGAATTTTTTACGCATTTTTAAACTTATTGAGCAACGGCGTCTTTACCGCTCTATATTTCAGACAAGTGTTCAAAAATTAATTTCTCTTAAACGGCACTTGCTAGAATCTACCTTTTTGCCATGAGGAAGAGCAAACATCTAACGGTTTGTTTGATATCAAGATTTACAGTTTTTTTTACAAAATTTCAAAATTTGGGTGACAACCAATTTCTTTACCGCCCAATCATTTTACAGGTCATTTTTTAAAAATTACTTCTGTCAAACGAAATCGGCCAGTAACCAGTTTTCTTCGCCGTGAGATGGAGCAAAAGTTAATCTGTAATTGCCAAAAAATTTCAATGCGATAAAGTTTTTCAGTGATTGTTTACGAATTTTCAAAGTTTTGCTCACGAAGTCTTTACCACCCATCCATGTTGGAGACCATTTTTCAAAAATTCCTGTCTCTCAAAGTAAAGTTGCAAGAAACTTGCCCTTTTGCTATGAGGTGGAACGAATATTGTTCTGTAAATACTAAAAGTTTGGTTGCGCTCACGTTTTTCGGTGATTTTTTAAAGATTTTCAAAAATAGGTTATCAACGACGCATGTAGCCCCATTTATTTTGCAGCCTATTTTTCAAAAATTAGTTTATTAAAAAGCGGACCCGCAAGAACAGTGCTTTTTTGCCATAAGATCACCCATTTTCTGTTCTATAACGACTAAACATTTGATTGCAATGAAAGTTATCGCTAATTTATAGCGAATTTTCTGAATCTGGTTTCCATGAAGTAATTACCTCCAATGGATTTTTCAAAAATGTATTTCTCTCAAGGTGAATCGCATAAGCGAGGAATATGTTAGTCTTTTTGCCATGAATTGGAGCGAATATAACTCTATAACGTATGAAATTGCGATAGGGGTTTTTAGAAATGTTTTAAGAATTTTCAAAATTTGTTCATAAATGCTTTTTTTGTCAATTCATTTTACAGACTATTTTTCAAGACGTATTTTCTCTCAAAGTGAAGAAGCAAGCATGTTGCTCTGTATACCCTGAAGGAGAGCAATTATAACTCTATTGTCCAAAAAGTTTAATTACCATTAATGTTCCCGGTAATTTTGTACAAATTCTTAAAACTCGGTAAAAAACAAGGCTTTTTTAGATCATTTTCAAAAATTCTTATTTCGAATTTTGCTCTGCAGTAATTAGCAGTTTAATTGCGATCAATATTGTCAGTATTTTTTATTTTTCACAATTTTCAAAACTTGTTAGCAATGCTTGTTAGCAATTGAATTTACCGCCCATCCATTTAGCAGACTATATTTTCCATTTGCAATTTCCGCCATAAAAGAGCGAATATGGTTCTATAAAGCAGAAAAGTTTAATCCCGTCCGGGGTTTTTAAGTAAATTTTTAAACTTTGTAAAAACTTTGGCCAATGACGGTCCAAAGCGACATGATTTTCCTGCCCTGCAAACCAGACATTGAAGCCAACTAGTCGCTAAAAACACTTAAAATATGTTGCAAAAGCTACCAAATTGCTGAAAAAACTCACAAATTTTCAAAATTGTTTCTGCAATTGCAAACCGAACAACGACAACTCACAGTGGCACCTTCCTTGAAAGGAAGCCAAAGAAGATAATCAAATGTGACTACCCTACTTAATGGTCCAGATATCTTCACAGCATCTCCATATACAGGGTGTTTGGCAGAAAAGACTGGTGTTTCGTGACAACATTGCATGAAAGTCCGTTTCCCACAACAAATTGTGGGAGTTCGTCTTTTCATTCCACACGTGGTCTTTAGCGATGATTATGGACAAGATGGGCCGCAGATAATTGGGCGAAGAGCACGCTCAAAGTGAAGGTGAAATATTCGCAGCGCACGAGGGTTGCATTTACGTATAATTATATCGAAGAAAATACACGATTGTTAGTCGAGATAATGTCAGGACAGCGTTACATATACTTGAGGCCATGTTTAGTTTATTGATTTATATTGCTCGGTTTCTGCCCAGCTATTTAATGTTTAAACATTACTGTCCTTAACCGCGCGAATTATACATTTTTCCGTTAGATAAATCCAAGAATTATCTGACAAATTTGAAGCCATTCACGGAAACAGATCTGCTAGCGCATAGAAGACGATAAATCTAAATAATAAATGTGGTGTTTCTGAAGATGAATGTCTTCGTATGAAGCAAGATATGGGCAGGAATAAAAAAATGTAGAACGTGCGCCGAGTTGTATGTGAAGCTGTAGCGCCTTAGTTCTTCTATGGGGATTTTTCAAAATTCTTCTATGTCTTACCAACTAGAAACGTGCGTCCACACGGCCCATTACACCTAATCAAGACCGCTAATTAATCGATTCACCCATTCAATCAATCACTTTGGAAACCCACACACAAAAGTCCGTGTCGCTTTTGAATTAAATCCTCGAGTATCGCGCCGCGCCGGATTAAAATCAACAATCGAGCCGTACTTTGAAGAGCGACATGAAGATCCAAATAGTTTTTACACGCAGTTCTTCGGGGGCTTTTGAAGAAGGCGATGTTGTCAGGATGGCCAAGATGTCTCAAACTCAACTTCCCGGAGCTATGGAAGAAGAACAGAGAACAGAGGCTCGGATGAGGACTCAAACTGTTCGGTCTACTGGATTTTATAGATTTAGTGCCAATTGTGCCGAATGGGGATTGATAAAGGAAAATTTCCCATTTAAGTCCCATGGAAAGTGCGACTCTTAGCTCAAAATATCAGCAATTAAAGTAGTTAACTTAAAAATTAAGAGCAAAAATTGTTACTGAATATCTTTTGACCGTGCGAACTGTTTATCAAAAGATACTTTTTCTGCTAAAATGCGTTGTTTTCCTGAACCTTGCAAATAACCGACTTTTGAAAGGATTCAACTTTTCAGAGCAATTTTGATGGTTTCAGACCTTCCCACTAGTGTGAAAAGTCTCAAACAATTCAAGTGTTTCGAGTCAGCTGCGTTTTCTCGTTCAAAACTCTAGAACTTCCCCAATTGGCCATGCAGTACGTTGAAACTTTCCCTGTCCTTAGAAGAGAGTTTGCTCTACAAACGGTGAAATTTTCATGAAAATGCCAGAAAATCCAGAATTTTACCAGCCGAGTAAAGTTTGGGCTCAAAATGGGTGTTTCCAGCCAGCTGCGCCTTCTGTTTTAAAACCCTAGACTTTCTCCACTGAGGCAAGCAGTAACTTGAACCTTTTCCACTCCTTAGAATAGAAAACAGCTCACTCTCGAAACCCTGAAATTTTGGTAAGAAAATCATAAAAGTACTAATTTTCACCAGCCGAGCAAAGTTTGGGCTCGAAATGGGTGTTTCTAGTCAGCGGCGCCTTCTGCTTTAAAACTATAGAACTTTTCCAATGGGGCAAGTAGCAACTCTAAAATTTCCGAAGTCTTTAGCCAACAATTCGTTCAACAAATGCTGAAATGTGCATGAAAATCACACTAAATTCTGATTTTTACTATCCGAGCAAAGTTTGGGCTCGAAATGGCTGTTTCCAGCCAGCTGCGCCTTCTGCTTTAAAAATAGAACTTCCCCACTGGGGCAAGTAGGAGCTTGAAACTTTTCTACTCCTTAGAAAACACTTCACTCTAATAACTCTGAAATGTTTGTAAAAATTTTATAGAAGTCCTGATTTTTACCAACCGAGCAAAGTTTGGGATCGAAATGGGTGTTTCTAGCCAGCAGCGCCTTCTGCTTTAAAACTGTATAACTTCTCCAATGGACCAATGGAGCAAGTAGCAACTCGAATTTCCCCAGTCTTTAGCCAACAATTCGCTCTACAAATGCTGAAATGTGCATAAAAATCACACCAAATTCAGATTTTTAACAGCCGATCAAAGTTTGCGCTCAAAATGGCTGTTTCCAGCCAGGTGCACCTTTTGCTTTAAAACCGTAGAACTTCTCCACTGGGGCAAGTAGCAACTTGAAACTTTCCCAGTCCTTAGAAGACAGTTCATTCTAGAAACTTTGAAATTTGCATGAAAGTTGGAGACGAGGACGAATTGCAAAATATTACCGATGCTATCAGCATCTTTCGGCATCAGAAAAAAATGTATTTTAAAATTTTCTGTACAGGGCGGTTGCGGTGTAAAGTGAATTCCCAAATCAGCTTGCATGTTTCATAAAAAAGAACCCCGATCAAGCTAAAAGGAAAAAACCGAAATTATTTCATAGGCTCCTATGGAAGAGGGAACCATCGCAATAAAATTTCGATATTTCAGAAGGCAATTTCTCCAAAAAATATATATATTGAACTGCAGACTACAAAATCAGCACTTTTGCAAAATGAATGAATGAAATGAATTTTTAATTTGGGAAAAGCACTAATAAATAATACCTAATTTGCTGCGTTGCAGAATACCCGCCCTGTTTTAATGAACCGGCAACACCACGCTTTTCTCAAGCTTGAAAGCTGTGACATTGACAATCCTAGTTGACAGTCCAATTTCTTCAATCACAACTTTTCAGACAGGATGAAGTAAGTTTAAGGAAATTTGTAAATATCGCTTTAATCATGAACTTTTTCCAATCCAATGGAAAACTCGAGCCTTTCTAATATATCCCTTCAGGGGTTTCAATACGTATTTTCTATTTTAGGATCGGACTTTGCGCGTATAGCGGGTACAAGACGTACCCAGGCCATGGAAAGACCCTGGTCAAGGTTGATGGAAAGGTAAGTCTCAAAAAATCAAACCGAATGCACCTCAATTATCTCAAACCGTCCCGTTTTTATTATTATCCCAAACCGTGTTGAGGCTTGATCTGTTGCCTTCACAATCTTGTTCAGCATCATAACATTATCTAACCTCATTTCAGAATTTCACTTTTCTCAACTCAAAATGTGAACGCGCTCACTTGATGAGGAGAAACCCCCGTAAGGTCACCTGGACGGTTCTGTACAGGCGCAAGCACAAAAAGGGCCAGGAGGAGGAAACGGCCAAAAAACGTACCAGGAAGACTCAAAAGTTCCAACGAGCCATCGTGGGTGCTTCTTTAAACGACATTATCGCTAAGAGGAACCAGAGGCCTGAGATCAGGGAGGCTCAAAGAGAGCAAGCAATTCGGTAAGTGCATGTTTTTTTAAACCAAATTTCCCTGTGGTTTTTTATTTAAAAAAAACCTGCTTTGTGAAATACTGCTTGCAGTCGGTACGATTAAATGACGGCAAAATCATTTAAAAGTTTTAATCCTGCATAAATTAACGAGACTTCTTACCACTGCAACCGAAGTACAGGTTTGCAGATCATTAAAAGTCCCCACATTTCAATAAGCTCCTAAGAGCCAGAAAACAAGCGTTTGAAGAGGAAATGAGTCGAATTTTTGTCCCCATAGTGCGGCTAAAGAGGCCAAGAAATCGACCAGAACCGCCAAAAAGGCAGCCCAACCAACCAAGGCGAAGTCTGCAACCACAAAGGTCGCCCAAAAGAAGGTAGCCAAGGTGGTGCAAAAGGCTGCGCCCAGAGTAGGAGGGAAACGGTAGAATTGTGGTTTTTTAACAAATACACTTTGTTAAGAACGAAAGCTCTTCAATGGTTTTTTTTTTCATCAAATTCCTCTTAAACTCGGTCCTTCCAAGTTGGGCGATGTCCTGCTCCCTTCATTCCTTGAGAAACCAATCAAAGGGAGTTGTTTTTTATTTTGTCTGTAACTCAGTTGTTCCTGTTTTCTTTCTTTGTGCTTTCGTAAAGTACATAATTGGTTTGAAAGATTGTTCAGTAGGTTTTGAGGATGTATTAGTGTGATTGGTTTTGTCTGTACGTGCCGTTTGGTCTTTTCCATTGCGTTTGCCCTAAACGTGTCTATCCTTTCAATTCTTGTAGCCGTATTTGTAGGGCAGGGATCGAAAGTGTTTTGTGCCTAGTTATTTCAGTTCTGGCGTTTTCTGCGTGTTTTGCGAATTTTAGGTTCAATCGTATTGCCCAAGTACCCTTTGTACGTTGTTGATACAATCGTTTAGTTTTTCTATTTATTCCATATTACAGTTTGTCATTCCGAATCGCTGAAATGATTGGGATTTTGTGGCACAACAAACGCTTCTTGATGATAAGGATATAGTTGAAAAGTCCCTACTTTTTTGCCGTCTTCAAACATGTAAGACTTGCAGCACTTGGTGCAAAAAAACGCTCGTCTGATCGGCAGTCGGTCGCTATGTAGAATCAGCCAGGTCGCATCGGTGATTTTGCAAATGAAGCAAAAAGGGCTGAGGATGCGCTTTATCGCCACTATCTTTGGATATCTAAAAAAGGACATCAAATGTACCCCCAAAAGGACCTGAGGGTGCTCAACCTACATCTTTGATACTAAACAGTCGGTGGTCTTCAATAGCCTGATGTCCGAGAAGCAGATTACATGTTCGCAACGTCCTTGATGGATGTAAACGTATCCATAGCCCAGGCGGAATTTCAAAGAACCCACTGTAACCTGGAAATTTTCGGGTTACACTCGGGAGGTTGTGATTGTGTGAATGGCCCACCCCTTCCATGGATGTGGAGTGCAAGTTGCCGATTTTGTTCTCCAAGGCCCACTCTCGCACGACTTCCGAGTAGTCGGTGGCATCGGGATGCGTCATGTCGTTATAAAAGGCGTTTTCTATGAAAAAGCACCGCGAGGGGCATTTTTCCTGGAGCAATGACAAATTAGAACAGACATTGTAAGTGAACGTGATTTTTGGTTTTCACCTTATTGTTGTAAAACTCTTCCAGCTGAATATCCATATTTTCCACTTCCCGCATCGCAAAGGCATCGGTTGCGCATTTGATGGAATCGGCCAGCTCCATTAGGGTTGTAGTGTGGACAACAGTCAATTCCATGTTGACTCTGACTTGGTCCGCAGTCACTTTTATATCCGTTACTGTACTGAAGGGCCGGTAGACTAGAACTTTGCAAATGAAGCCATTATCAGCCTGCATGTCCGGCACGTAGTTTGTGTCCTCTCGAGCTTTGTCCTCTGTAAAGTGGGGTATTTTGGGGAGGTTCTGATTGCCCACCAAGTCTCGGTTGGATTCTGTGAACTCCTCCATCCATTTGGCCGTGTTCAATGTCCTAGCCCGATCATTAATGGGGTGTGTGATGGAAATATGGTCCCCAATCGGTGGGCTTTCCAGGGGCAGCATCTCGTTCTCAGAGAGGACTTTCAGTTTTTCAATTCTGTAATTTATCAAATATTTTTGGGTGGAAATCACCATAAACCATCGCTTACGAGCATAGCTGCTCCAAAGCTTTAACATCCTGCAGATCTAGGGCCAAATCAAAGTCGCTTTTCAGTATTTCCATTCTTTGCGTGAAAACATCCTTGGAAGTGTCGATGTTTACCGTGCATTCCGCCCGGTATTCCTTGAAGTATTTATCGAAATCAATCACATCAGTTGAGCCATAGCTTTCTGGGTCGTATACATTTTCCATTTTTTTAAATTTGAGCAAATTTGTTGTTTATTTGCACTGATAACCTTAAAATATGGTTGTCAGTGATGCTGAAAAAATTGCATATGGCTTGGCAACAGCGCAAATGGGCCAGGCTCATCGTTTTATTTGAACGATAACACAATTTATTTCTTAACCATTTTTACACTGTGATTTTGAGACAATTTCTTGCGAACGATGCAACAATTGAAGAACGGTTTAATTGTTCTATTTCAACCGTTTAAATTTTTTCCTGCTTGACTTACAAAATATTTCAACACTCCATGACTCGACTACGCAAAATTGTGGCTTTTAGTCGGGTGCTTTATACAGGGTGTCCCGTAAGCATATGATCAAAAGGATACTGCGATATTATTTCCATCAAAAGAAGACGATCTGACCTAACATTTATTAACAAAAATGTCTGGCTCCTCTGCTATAGACGGTCAAAGTTATTCCAAAAAAATATATTTTTTGAAATATCGAGAGAATGGTGCGATGTATTTTAGTGAAACTCGCTGTGAATTTGTTCTTATGTAAGACTCATATTTTGATGAAACAATCGTGTTCATCCGCTTTGGACAAGTGGTGGATTCTTGAGTGTCGTGGTACAAAAACTACCAGAACTTTTTATTTGGTGGATGAAATCAACTCAATTTTTTTGATTGATGCACTAATCATTTATTCACAATTTTGTTCTCTTTCTAAAATCTTGTAGCATTCATAGTTTTTGCGAAAAATTTGCATTTAATTGCCTAACATTGGCATTTTTTGCGCAAAAACTATGAACGCTACAAGATTTTACAAATAGCACAAAATTGTGAATAAATGGTTAGTGCAACAGCCAAAACAAATGAGTTGATTTTATCCACCAAATAAAAAGTTTTGGTAGTTTTTGTACCACGACACTCAAAAATTCAGTTTCAAATTCAATTCAGCCGTCCAAAACGGCTGAACTCGATTGTTTCATCAAAATATGAGTCTTACATAAGAACTAATTCACAGCGAATTTCACCAAAATTCCATTGTTTGTATTATGGTGATATATGTATAATTGTACCATTCTCCCGATATTTCAAAAAGATCATTTTTTTGAAGAACTTTTCGAAGACATTTTTTGTTAATGAAAGGTAGGTGAGATCGTCTTTTTTTGAGCCAAAGAATATCGCAGTACCCTTTTGATCATGTGCTTACGGTATATTTTTTATATCATGATTTTTGGACTTTGGTCAACTAATTTTAAAAGCACGAAACGATTCAAGCAAAAACAAATTCAATAGTTTTTGGGTGTTTCAAATGTTTTTGATTATCAATCTGTAATTTTTGAGGCGACTTTCAGCGAAAAATAGCAGTAATTGAAATAAAAAACTAAATACTAAGAAAAAAAATGGAATCATCAATTCAGTTCGTTAATGAACTAAATACATGCCAATTCGTTCGACCTTTTAGAGTGGTATTGGGAGCCTTATCACCATCATAGATGAGCGTTATCTTGTTTATTTTCTTAACCTTCACCCAGTTTTCATGTGATGAAAATTTCCACCACTATTGCATTGAAAATTCAGTTAATTCTCTGGGTAAACAAAAAACCAAATTTTCAGATTTTGGGAAATGTTTCTAAATGGGCGGTAAAGCGTGCGAATTCTTCAAAACATTGGCGACAAAACGACGCAATAAATTACCGATGCAGCATATATTACGGCATATTTAATTCATTATGCACTTTTGCGAGGTTGTGCCTGAATATACAGGTCGCCTATTAATCACATTTGCTCTGTTATGAAAGGCTGAAATCTAGTTCAGCGGGCCGACAATCTGCATTTTTGATAATGGATTTCGAATCGAATAAAAAATGCAGGTAATATGCGTCTCACTCGATTTGGCTGAAAACGTATCCATTTCAGTCCCATTGAAAATTGCTTTAAGAACATCTGCAAGTATCCTCCAATTTGCTGCGTTAAACTCCCCAAAAAACTTGGTTTAGAGAAGGAAAAAATCAGAGCAAGTCAGTAGGCAGATGCGTCGCGACGCTATCGGGCGCGTCGTTTCGAAACGGTGTCACGCGTGCATTCTAATGCAGTCCGACCCTGAAATGCACCTCAGGGCCGTAGGCCCGAATTATTGCGAAAGGCTCCGTCATAATGGTCAAGGTAAAAACCTCCCTCCCGAAAAAGCGGCGCGCCGATGTATAAAATAGTGCTTCCTCAAACATTGACTTATCAGTTCCTCTTTCCGTCTATTTACCACCCGATCTCAGAGAATGGCGAACAAGTGTTTAGTGTTTTTTGCCTTCTGGGCAGTAGTGTGGAGGATCACCCTTGCGGGGCCTTTGCAGGTAAGTGCTTGAAAGAACCAATTTCCAGCTCCTCTTTGGGTTTTTGCAGGCCAACTCCCCAAGGAGCCGATCAGGACGCAGCTACTGTAACTGCGGTAAGTGCTCTGGATCAAACGTTGTCTCCTAAACTCCCCCTAATTCCTTTGGTAGAATGCGGAGTGGTGAAGCGGGAGAGTCGGGTAGTGGGAGGAAACGTGACCAATTCCCACGAGTTTCCTTGGCTGGCCGGCCTGAGCCACGGAGGCGAGTTTCACTGCGGAGCTGCGCTCATTTCCAGAAAGCACGTGATTACTGCTGCGCATTGCGTCAATGGGTTAGCCGATGCGCCCCCGCTAACCAGACTGGAGATAAAATTGCCCATTCCAGATTCGATAAGCGGGACTTGATGGTGACTTTGGGGGACCACGATCGTGACTCCAGGGACCGATTCAACCACATAGAAGTGCGTGGGATCAGATCGGTGCGCAAACACGAACACTTTGACCTGGCCACCTACAACAACGACATCGCCATCCTGGAACTGGACCTCCCAGTGAGCTTCAACGAGAAAATGAACCCGGTTTGCCTCCCCAGCAACTGTAAGTCGCCACTAAAGCCCCCCAAGCTCCCCAATGAACACAAAGTTCCTGCTGCAGCTCCTCTGGACTACACGGGACGCGTAGGGATAGTGGCTGGATGGGGCAGGATTAATGAGCGGGGCGACACGTCGCAAGTGCCCCGAAAAATCGCCGTTCCCGTCTGGAGCAGGGAGCAGTGCTACAATTCTGGGTACGGAGAGCACAAGATTTCGGGCAATATGTTTTGCGCTGGATACCAAGAAGGCCGCATCGACGCCTGCCAGGTAACCACTGAGTTGAGCTCAGCTGCTGGATTTATCTGAGTTTTTTTGGCGAAATTAGGGGGACAGTGGCGGCCCGCTGCAGCTCAGCAACCACTTGGGGGACATGGAACTCATTGGTGAGTGGTTTTTTCACTGTATTGGAGTTGACTAAAACCACTTTGAAATTTAGGGGTGGTTTCCTGGGGGAGAGGCTGCGCCCGCCCAAATCTGCCCGGCATCTACACCAAAGTAGCCAATTATCTCCACTGGATTGAAGAGCACATGGAGGGCGAATGCGCGTGCCAGCGCCCAAACGCCAAGTTCTTCTAGAGCTTCAATTTTTGCCCAAAACTCTAGTCAATTATATTTATTTATTTATTGAGCTGCGAACAATGCAACGAAACTGCGGAAGTAGTCGCAGTTACGATGATTGTATTCAAATGAAGACAGTTGCATTGACTTCAAGGAAAGGTCGTCAGAAATTGATCTTGATTATTGTTATACAATCGACAAATTTACACGTTTTACATAAGGATGCCGCGAAGCTTTGTGGTTTTAAATGATTAACAGTCGGAGACAAAAAGTGTCTTTTGATTGTTGCCATTGACCCGATTGCCGCTGCTGTTCTAACTGGCTTTCAATGCCGTTTTGTCGCCAAATGTGTCAGTATTCACATTTTGTTATTGGATTAAGCACCAAAGAAATATATTAGTTAATTAGCATTATTTTGTGGTTTTTCTCGTCTACATTCGCTCTGCTGCCGGCGAATTTTGGGACTTGAGGTTTAGTTGCGTTCAACTCTCCCAAGTAGCAAAATCAAACGTGAAAGTAGCGAATTTTTCTGTAATAATCGAGCAGGGCTTTCACAGAACAATTTAGTTCAGAATGAAAACTAGTTTTGTTTAGTCCATATGCAATGGCTTACACTTTTACAACACACAACATTTATTTTAGAATTTTTTCGTGCTGAAAATATATAAAGGTTTTCACGCAATTTTGAAGAATTTTTGGTTCCTATAAAGTTTATTGTATAGCGGTAGTTTTCGCAATCTTTGTGGGAGTTAGTCCCCAGAGTATGTTTGTATGTATTGCAATTCCTCGGTTGAGAGAAAATAAAAACTTGACAAGTTTCGGATCTGCGGTGTGTAGAAGCTGAACTATCTTCTTAACTCAAAAACACTGTGAGGTTTCGCATTTTTTTCCCGAATCTTTTTCCCAAAAAGCTGATGGTTTCTCATTCAAATTTATCAAGATCAGTTGGAATTCCATCACTTGACGGAAAACATAATTCTAAATTAGAGCAATATTACAGGATCTTACCTGCTTTGGTTGTGGTTTACAGGCATCTGCGATATGAGAAAACTTAATAATTTTTCACCCAAAATTTACGGCGTTTGAAAAATCAAGGTCCTTCAAGATTTTAATTCAATTTTTCAGATTGAATTACAAAGTGTTCTTCTAACTTCAGGCAAAATTGCAGGATTTAGGATGCTTTTCCTGAGCATTGAGGAGTGTTTCCTTCTAGTCTTAAGTTAAACTTGGGGATCAAGCTTGGGTACTTTGCTTGAGAATTGATGAAATTGAGATTAATAACATTTTTAATGATTTGGTAATAGAGAGTTTTTTAACTCCTGCAAAAATGTTCAGGATCCCACTTTCAATGTGGCTGCAGGAAAATTTATGTGTGGGTCTGCAGTGTAAAAAGTTCAGTGATTCTTCACTCAACTTTGACAGTCTCAAAAATCGAGGCGTCGCTGGATTTTCCTAAAATTTTCTGGGTTTAACTACTGAGTATCCTGCTAATCTGAGGCAAAACTGTGCAGTTCGGCCTACTTTGGTTAAAGTTTTACGATTTTTTATGGGTTTGCTCTATGAGGTATCTCAATTATTTTCCTCTTAAATTTAGCTGTGTTTAAAAATATCAGCTAGTGGGCAGAATTTCATTAAGCCATGAAATTTCAAAAAATTTTTTTTGCATAAATTAAAGTATCCAATATTGCTTGCGTTTTTAAGCATTAAAAGCTAAAATGGTGTACAACGCGTGAGTTTTGCGTCTGTAAACCAAATAAATCCAAGAACTTTTTTTTTAACCCAAAAAAACTGGGGGGCTTTGTCCCCTTACAACCGGTGTCTTTAAGCCTTAATCCATTTTTTTACTTAAAATAAACAGCTCAACAAAATCAACGCTATACAGACAAATTTGGACTAACTTTGGAACCGGATAAATGCTGACTATAGGGAATTTATTTCTGTTTCAAGCGTTATTTAGTGTAATTGATTTTCCATTGATCCCTGTTTTTTTCCAAAAAATATTGCTTCAGAGAAAGCTTCTACAGGGTAGCCAATGAAACGATGCAAGATTGGTGAAAGTTCCCCATGTTCTCAGTTGGACAGAAAAGGGATTTTTCGTATTTCAATACTACAAGAATTAAGATAGGTAGATATATCAAAAAAATTTTTTGGATTTTCCTCCCATCTCGATTATTTACAGAGTGGCCCTAAAAAAATTAACCTTTTCTCCTTGCAGTTCTTAAATTTAGCTGTGCTTAAAAATATCAGGTAGTGGGTTGAATTCGATAAATCTTTCCAGGATTTAGTGTCAAAGAGTCTTCAATCTTCAGAACAATCTGTAAAATTCTCATGTCGCTGGCTGTTGTTGCAGGATTTTTTTGTACATCTCCGGATTAAAAAACTTTGCTGGATATTCATCAAATTTTCCACAATGAACTACTAGGTATTCATCTAACATCAGATAAAATTTGAGGATCCAGTTTACTTTTCCTGAGGACTGAGGATTTTTTTCTTAATGTGTGGATTGCGAGAACGTGGTTTTCCAAGCTCAGCTCAGCCGCCCTAAAAGCACCGACTTGCTCTATAATTCTTTGTTTTTGCCCACACCTACCACATACTCAAAATTCTTCATTTATCGTGAATTAGTTGGTTTTTGAGCCAATGAATTAAGCTTCTCTTTTGCCGACGAGAACATCAATCCAAAAATCCTTTTAAAGAGAAGACTCAACAGTTTTTCATATGATAATTGCACCAAGTCCCTGCCGATTTGAGTGCCCGAATTATTACTTTGCGGGATTTTGGAAGTTGCGCGTGTGGCTGCAGGAATTTTTCTTTGCAGAGCTGTTGTCTGAAGAAATTCAATGATTTTTCATTCAACTTTCATAAAGTCAGAAAAATCAGGGCGTCACTGGATTTCCATGAAAATTTCCAGATTTACCTACTAAGCATACTGCTAGACTCAGGCAATATTGCGTAATTGAGCCTGCCTTGGTTGTGGCTAAACGAATTTTTATATGTTTGCAGAGTGAAGAACCTTAATGCGTTTCGAATTAATTTCAGTAGTGCTTGAAAATTCAGAGCATCGTTGATTTTTAATGAAAAATGTCAAGATTTACTGCAAAAATGCTTTCAAACTTTGGAAGAAATTGTTTGATCCGGCCCACTTTGGCTGTGGTTGGAGGATTTTTTTAAATAGTCTGTGGGAACAAGTTCAAATATTTTTCACTGAACTGCGACAGCGTCTGGAAAATCAGCATGCAGCACTATTTCTATGAGATTTTTCCAAACTTCATTATTATTTTTTCTTCTAGATTCGGGACAAACTGCAGGATTCATCTTGCTTTGCCTGAGGACTAAGGAGTGTTTCCGACTGAGTCTGTATGTTGAATTAACTCAAACAGTTCTTGGAACTTAGGGTAAGTTGGAACTTAGGGTTTGTTTAGTTAATCGTTAATCAGTGTTTTTCACCCGAGTTTGCATGAATTAAAGGATACAATATTGCTTGCGTTTTTAAACATTAGAAGGTAATTTGGTGTGCAAAGCTTCAGTTTTGCGGCTGCAAATCAAACAAATGCAAGAATAATTTTTTTTCTTAACCCAAAAAAACTGGGGGGCTTCGTACCCTTACAACCAGCGTCTTTAAGCCTTAATCCATTTTTTTTAAATTAAAATAAACTGCTCAACAAAATCAACGTTACACTGACAAATTTGGACTAACTTTGGAACCGGATAAATGCTGACTGCTTAGAGCGAATTGATTTCTGTTTGAAGCGTTATTTAGTGCAATTCATTTTCCTTTGGTCCCTGTTTTTTCAAAAAATTAATGCTTCAGATAAAGTTTCTACAGGCTGGTAAATGAAACGATCCAAAATTGGTGAAAGTTCCCCATGTTCTCACTTGGACTGAAAAACGATTTTTTGTATTTCAACACTACAAGAATTAAGATAGGTAGATATATCAAAAACGTTTTTAGATTTTTCGCCAATCTCGTTTATTTACAGAGTGGCTTTAAAAAATTTTACCTTTTCCCTTTGCAGTGAGTTTTTGTCTTGCGTCAATTTTCAAAATTTAGGGTTTATGTTGAAGGTAAAACTTCACAGTGGGCTAGACTTAATAATAGTCAGATATTTCCAGGGCAGTTCTGATTTGGGTAACTTTTTGAGTAACTCTGCATATCGAATTTTTGACTTAAATTTTCCATAAAGTTTTAGCTTGAATATAAGCTCAATATGGTGAAAATCGACCCCAAAGCTCTGCAGTTTGCGCTGCAAGGTGAAAAAGTTGATTTCTTAAGAGCACCCTGGAAAAAGAACAGATGGGCAAAAATTTCGAAATCCTTTTCGCGCAATTTGGTTAATCTTCGCACTTTTCGTGTTAAGATCCAAAAAAACTTCACTTTTTCGAAAACCGAACTTTCCGCAATTTTGTATTTTTTCATTTGCCACCCTACATTTTACTAAAACCTTGACTAACAAAAAACAAGTTCAATATGCTTCCGTCTTAACCGGAGGATTGAAGCTGAAACGCCCATTAGCTAGAGGAAACAATGCCGGTTTTTTAGCCGGCGCTAAACAATTGAACGTTCTACATGTCCATCATCCAGTAGGGGTGCAGGCAAAGAGTCAATCTTGCACATTCAAAGCCATGTCGCAAATCCATCAATGTATGTTCTCTTGGCCTTTCTACGTCTGCCCACCATCAATCATACCCGTGTGAATTATTGCAACGCTTTTGTTTTATTTTAGCCGCTACACCCTGTATATATTCTGGAGATTTAAGCCAATGGAACGAATGCTCAATAAATGGGGGCAAATCGACGTAAAATCCAACTGACTTGTCCTGCCGGAACAAAAGACATGCTTGCAGTTTGTAAATACGAAATTGGCTTCAGATTCCAGTCGAATGGTTGGCTGTTGCAGCCAGATCCGCGATGCGCTTTTTTCGTGTCTTTCGAAATCATCGCAAAGCGCAAATTAATGCTAACGGAACGACGCCGACGTGAGGCTGCTGGCCCGGAAGCGATTGACTGCAATACAAAAACAAAAAAAATATATATGAGCATCTGGATCGCTTTGCTTTGGCCCGTCGCTTGCTTTGTTTACCCCAATCAAACAAAGGATTGTTTGGTTTTTAGATGCGCTTAGTGCCGCAATCTAGAATGCATCGGCTCAGTAACTGCAGCTTTAATCGATCGTTCAGCTTCGCGCTACATTGACGGGGATTTATCTGGATTGGCTGTTGTTTTTTCCTGTGGAGAGTTTTTTGCTCAAGAATTCTCCGAGCCAAATTCAAGTCGGGCCGGAAATCGCTCTATGTATCAGTAGGTCGTTGCGGTGCATTCAAGTTCCCTTTGCAAGCCGATTTCGGCGTCGCGACGCCCGGTGTTATTCAATGCGCCCACACCGCACTCGGGCAGTGGGGCAAAGTGTCTTAG